AAATTGGCAGTGGAGTTATTTGAACCCATGCCCCTTTTGAGACTGGAACCTAAACGTAGAGCCTTAGACCTCTGGCCAATAGTACCATAGAGAACTGAAAACAAAGTGTGGAACGTCCTGGAACAAGCTACAAAATCTTGTGCATCAAGTAAATAAAACCAAATATTTTACCAAACTGTTTAAGTTTTGTGAACTTCTTTTTAAAGAATCAAATCATATCACATTTGGTAGTGGTGGGATTAAACCCCACGCCTCTTTCGAGACGGGAGCCTAAATCTAGCACCTTGGACCACTCGGCCACACTACCATGGATCTAGAACAGATGCGACAAGGTATTGGCAAAACTTTACATTACTGTAAATTAAAAAACAGAGTGAGGAACATCCTAGAACAAGCTATAAAATCCTCCGCATCAAGACAAAGTAAATAAGACCAAATATTTTACCAAACGGTTCAAATTTTGACAACTTTCTTAAAAAGAAAATTATTCAGGTCAAATTTGGCAGTGGTGGGATTTGAACCCACGCCTCTTTTGAGACTGGAGCCTTAATCCAGCGCCTTAGACCGCTCGGCCACACTACCACAGAGTGGCATTAAATGCGACAAGGTATTGGCAAAACTTTACTTAACTGTAAATTGAAAACAGAGCCTGGAACTTTCTAGAAAATGCTAAAACTCCTCTGCATCAAGCCAAAGTAAATAAGACCAAATATTTCACTAAGCTAATAAAGTTTGGCAATTTCCATGGAAAAAAACTATTCTGGCCAAACTTGGCAGTGGTGGAATTTGAACCCAGGCATCTATTGAGGCTGGAGGCTTAATCCAGCGCCTTAGACTGGTCGGTCACACTACCACAGAGTGGGACCAGATGCCAAAAAGTATTTGGAGAACTTTACAAAACTGTAAATTAAAAACAGAGCTTGGGACATCCTAGAACAAGCTAAAAAAATCACATGCATCATCTAAATAAAACCAAATATTTCACCAAACTGTTCAAATTTTGGCAACTTCCTTGGAAAGAAACAGTTCAGGACAAATTTGGCAGTGGAGTTATTTGAACCCATGCCTCTTTTGAGACTGGAACCTAAACGTAGAGCCTTAGACCTCTGGCCAACAGTACCATGGAGAACTGCAAACAGAGTGTGGAACGTCCTGGAACAAGCTACAAAATCTTGTGCATCAAGTAAATAAAACCAAATATTTTACCAAACTGTTCAAGTTTTGTGAACTTCTTTTTAAAGAATCAAATCATATCACATTTGGTAGTGGTGAGATTAAAACCCACAACTCTTTCAAGACGGGAGCCTAAATCCAGCACCTTGGACCAATCGGCCACACTACCATGAATCTTGAACAGATGCGACAAGATATTGGCAAAACTTTACATAACTGTAAATTAAAAACAGAGTGAGGAACATCCTAGAACAAGCTATAAAATCCTCCGCATCAAGACAAAGTAAATAAGACCAGATATTTTACCAAACGGTTCAAATTTTGGCAACTTTCTTAAAAAGAAAATTATTCAGGTCAAATTTGGCAGTGGTGGGATTTGAACCCACGCCTCTATTGAGACTGGAGCCTTAATCCAGGGCCTTAGACCGCTCGGCCACACTACCATGGAGTGGCATTAAATGCGACAAGGTATTGGCAAAACATAACTTAACTGTAAATTGAAAACAGAGCCTGGAACGTCCTAGAAAATGCTAAAACTCCTCTGCATCAAGCCAAAGTAAATAAGACCAAATATTTCACCAAGCTAATAAAGTTTGGCAATTTCCATGGAAAAAAACTATTCTGGCCAAACTTGGCAGTGGTGGAATTTGAACCCAGGCCTCTATTGAGGCTGGACGCTTAATCCAGCGCCTTAGACTGGTCGGTCACACTACCACAGAGTGGGACCAGATGCCAAAAAGTATTTGGAAAACTTTACAAAACTGTAAATTAAAAACAGAGCCTGGAACGTCCTAGAACATGCTAAAACTCCTTTGCATCAAGCCAAAGTAAATAAGACCAAATATTTTACCAAACGGTTCAAATTTTGGCAACTTTCTTAAAAAGAAAATTATTCAGGTCAAATTTGGCAGTGGTGGGATTTGAACCCACGCCTCTATTGAGACTGGAGCCTTAATCCAGCGCCTTAGACCGCTCGGCCACACTACCACAGAGTGCCATTAAATGCGACAAGGTATTGGCAAAACTTTACTTAACTGTAAATTGAAAACAGAGCCTGGAACGTCCTAGAACATGCAAAAACTCCTTTGCATCAAGCCAAAGTAAATAAGACCAAATATTTCACCAAGCTAACAAAGTTTGGAAATTTCCATGGAAAAAAAAATATTCTGGCCAAACTTGGCAGTGGTGGAATTAAAACCCAGGCCTCTATTGAGACTGGAGGCTTAATCCAGCGCCTTAGACCGGTTGGTCACACTACCACAGAGTGGGACCAGATGCCAAAAAGTATTTGGAAAACTTTACAAAACTGTAAATTAAAAACAGAGCTTGGGACATCCTAGAACAAGCTAAAAAAATCACATGCATCATCTAAATAAAACCAAATATTTCACCAAACTGTTCAAATTTAGGCAACTTCCTTGGAAAGAAACAGTTCAGGACAAATTTGGCAGTGGAGTTATTTGAACCCATGCCGCTTTTGAGACTGGAACCTAAACGTAGAGCCTTAGACCTCTGGCCAACAGTACCATGGAGAACTGAAAACAGAGTGTGGAACGTCCTGGAACAAGCAACAAAATCTTGTGCATCAAGTAAATAAAATCAAATATTTTACCAAACTGTTCAAGTTTTGGGAACTTCTTTTTAAAGAATCAAATCATATCACATTTGGTAGTGGTGGGATTAAAACCCACACCTCTTTCGAGACGGGAGCCTAAATCTAGCACCTTGGACCACTCGGCCACACTACCATGGATCTAGAACAGATGCGACAAGGTATTGGCAAAACTTTACATAACTGTAAATTGAAAACAGAGTGAGGAACATCCTAGAACAAGCTATAAAATCCTCCGCATCAAGACAAAGTAAATAAGACCAAATATTTTACGAAACGGTTCAAATTTTGGCAACTTTCTTAAAAAGAAAATTATTCAGGTGGGATTTGAACCCACACCTCTATTGAGACTGGAGCCTTAATCCAGCGCCTTAGACCGCTCGGCCACACTACCACAGAGTGGCATGAAATGCGACAAGGTATTTGCAAAACTTTACTTAACGGTAAATTGAAAACAGAGCCTGGAACGTCCTAGAAAATGCTAAAACTCCTCTGCATCAAGCCAAAGTAAATAAGACCAAATATTTCACCAAGCTAATAAAGTTTGGCAATTTCCATGGAAAAAAAATATTCTGGCCAAACTTGACAGTGGTGGAATTTGAACCCAGACCTCTTTTGAGGCTGGAGGCTTAATCCAGCGCCTTAAACTGGTCGGTCAAACTACCACAGAGTGGGACCAGATGCCAAAAAGTATTTGGAAAACTTTACATAACTGTAAATTAAAAACAGAGTGAGGAACATCCTAGAACAAGCTATAAAATCCTCCGCATCAAGACAAAGTAAATAAGACCAAATATTTTACCAAACGGTTCAAATTTTGGCAACTTTCTTAAAAAGAAAATTATTCAGGTCAAATTTGGCAGTGGTGGGATTTGAACCCACGCCTCTATTGAGACTGGAGCCTTAATCCAGCGCCTTAGACCGCTCGGCCACACTACCACGGAGTGGCATTAAATGCGACAAGGTATTGGCAAAACTTTACTTAACTGTAAATTGAAAACAGAGCCTGGAACGTCCTAGAAAATGCTAAAACTCCTCTGCATCAAGCCAAAGTAAATAAGACCAAATATTTCACCAAGCTAATAAAGTTTGGCAATTTCCATGGAAAAAACTATTCTGGCCAAACTTGGCAGTGGTGGAATTTGAACCCAGGCCTCTATTGAGGCTGGAGGCTTAATCCAGCGCCTTAGACTGGTCGGTCACACTACCACAGAGTGGGACCAGATGCCAAAAAGTATTTGGAAAACTTTACAAAACTGTAAATTAAAAACAGAGCTTGGGACATCCTAGAACAAGCTAAAAAAATCACATGCATCATCTAAATAAAACCAAATATTTCACCAAACTGTTCAAATTTTGGCAACTTCCTTGGAAAGAAACAGTTCAGGACAAATTTGGCAGTGGAGTTATTTGAACCCATGCCTCTTTTGAGACTGGAACCTAAACGTAGAGCCTTAGACCTCTGGCCAATAGTACCATAGAGAACTGAAAACAGAGTGTGGAACGTCCTGGAACAAGCTACAAAATCTTGTGCATCAAGTAAATAAAACCAAATATTTTACCAAACTGTTCAAGTTTTGTGAACTTCTTTTTAAAGAATCAAATCATATCACATTTGGTAGTGGTGAGATTAAAACCCACAACTCTTTCAAGACGGGAGCCTAAATCCAGCACCTTGGACCACTCGGCCACACTACCATGGATCTAGAACAGATGCGACAAGATATTGGCAAAACTTTACATAACTGTAAATTAAAAACAGAGTGAGGAACATCCTAGAACAAGCTATAAAATCCTCCGCATCAAGACAAAGTAAATAAGACCAAATATTTTACCAAACGGTTCAAATTTTGGCAACTTTCTTAAAAAGAAAATTATTCAGGTCAAATTTGGCAGTGGTGGGATTTGAACCCACGCCTCTATTGAGACTGGAGCCTTAATCCAGCGCCTTAGACCGCTCGGCCACACTACCACGGAGTGGCATTAAATGCGACAAGGTATTGGCAAAACTTTACTTAACTGTAAATTGAAAACAGAGCCTGGAACTCCTAGAAAATGCTAAAACTCCTCTGCATCAAGCCAAAGTAAATAAGACCAAATATTTCACCAAGCTAATAAAGTTTGGCAATTTCCATGGAAAAAAACTATTCTGGCCAAACTTGGCGGTGGTGGAATTTGAACCCAGGCCTCTATTGAGGCTGGAGGCTTAATCCAGCGCCTTAGACTGGTCGGTCAAACTACCACAGAGTGGGACCAGATGCCAAAAAGTATTTGGAAAACTTTACAAAACTGTAAATTAAAAACAGAGCTTGGGACATCCTAGAACAAGCTAAAAAATCACATGCATCATCTAAATAAAACCAAATATTTCACCAAACTGTTCAAATTTTGGCAACTTCCTTGGAAAGAAACAGTTCAGGACAAATTTGGCAGTGGAGTTATTTGAACCCATACCTCTTTTGAGACTGGAACCTAAACGTAGAGCCTTAGACCTCTGGCCAACAGTACCATAGAGAACTGAAAACAGAGTGTGGAACGTCCTGGAACAAGCTACAAAATCTTGTGCATCAAGTAAATAAAACCAAATATTTTACCAAACTGTTTAAGTTTTGTGAACTTCTTTTAAAAGAATCAAATCATATCACATTTGGTAGTGGTGAGATTAAAACCCACAACTCTTTCAAGACGGTAGCCTAAAACCAGCACCTTGGACCACTCGGCCACACAACCATGGATCTAGAACAGATGCGACAAGATATTGGCAAAACTTTACATAACTGTAAATTAAAAACAGAGTGAGGAACATCCTAGAACAAGCTACAAAATCCTCCGCATCAAGACAAAGTAAATAAGACCAAATATTTTACCAAACGGTTCAAATTTTGGCAACTTTCTTAAAAAGAAAATTATTCAGGTCAAATTTGGCAGTGGTGGGATTTGAACCCACGCCTCTTTTGAGACTGGAGCCTTAATCCAGTGCCTTAGACCGCTCGGCCACACTACCACGGAGTGGCATTAAATGCGACAAGGTATTGGCAAAACTTTACTTAACTGTAAATTGAAAACAGAGCCTGGAACTTCCTAGAAAATGCTAAAACTCCTCTGCATCAAGCCAAAGTAAATAAGACCAAATATTTCACCAAGCTAATAAAGTTTGGCAATTTCCATGGAAAAAAACTATTCTGGCCAAACTTGGCAGTGGTGGAATTTGAACCCAGGCCTCTATTGAGGCTGGAGGCTTAATCCAGCGCCTTAGACTGGTCGGTCACACTACCACAGAGTGGGACCAGATGCCAAAAAGTATTTGGAAAACTTTACAAAACTTTAAATTAAAAACAGAGCTTGGGACATCCTAGAACAAGCTAAAAAAATCACATGCATCATCTAAATAAAACCAAATATTTCACCAAACTGTTCAAATTTGGCAACTTCCTTGGGAAGAAACAGTTCAGGACAAATTTGGCAGTGGAGTTATTTGAACCCATGCCTCTTTTGAGACTGGAACCTAAACGTAGAGCCTTAGACCTCTGGCCAATAGTACAATAGAGAACTGAAAACAGACTGTGGAACGTCCTGGAACAAGCTACAAAATCTTGTGCATCAAGTAAATAAAACCAAATATTTTACCAAACTGTTCAAGTTTTGGGAACTTCTTTTTAAAGAATCTTTTTAAAGGCTTAATCCAGCGCCTTAGACCACTCGGCCCACTACCACATAGTGGGACCAGATGCCAAAAAGTTTTGGAAAACTTTACATAACTGTAAATTGAAAACAGAGTGAGGAACATCCTAGAACAAGCTAAAAAATCCTCCGCATCAAGACAAAGTAAATAAGACTAAATATTTTACCAAACGGTTCAAATTTTGGCAACTTTCTTAAAAAGAAAATTATTCAGGTTAAATTTGGCAGTGGTGGGATTTGAACCCACGCCTCTATTGAGACTGGAGCCTTAATCCAGCGCCTTAGACCGCTCGGCCACACTACCATGGAGTGGCATTAAATGCGACAAGGTATTGGAAAAACTTTACTTAACTGGAAATTGAAAACAGAGCCTGGAACGTCCTAGAACATGCTAAAACTCCTCTGCATCAAGCCAAAGTAAATAAGACCAAATATTTCACCAAGCTAATAAAGTTTGGCAATTTCCATGGAAAAAAACTATTCTGGCCAAACTTAGCAGTGGTGGAATTTGAACCCAGGCCTCTATTGAGGCTGGAGGCTTAATCCAGCGCCTTAGACTGGTGGGCCACACTACCACAGAGTGGGACCAGATGCCAAAAAGTATTTGGAAAACTTTACAAAACTGTAAATTAAAAACAGAGCTTGGGACATCCTAGAACAAGCTAAAAAAATCACATGCATCATCTAAATAAAACCAAATATTTCACCAAACTGTTCAAATTTTGGCAACTTCCTTGGAAAGAAACAGTTTAGGACAAATTTGGCAGTGGAGTTATTTGAACCCATGCCTCTTTTGAGACTGGAACCTAAACGTAGAGCCTTAGACCTCTGGCCAACAGTACCTTGGAGAACTGAAAACAGAGTGTGGAATGTCCTGGAACAATTTACAAAATATCGTGCATCAAGTAAATAAAACCAAATATTTTACCAAACTGTTTAAGTTTTGTGAACTTCTTTTTAAAGAATCAAATCATATCACATTTGGTAGTGGTGAGATTAAAACCCACAACTCTTTCAAGACGGGAGCCTAAATCCAGCACCTTGGACCACTCGGCCACACTACCATGGATCTAGAACAGATGCAACAAGATATTGGCAAAACTTTACATAACTGTAAATTAAAAACAGAGTGAGGAACATCCTAGAACAAGCTATAAAATCCTCCGCATCAAGACAAAGTAAATAAGACCAAATATTTTACCAAACGGTTCAAATTTTGGCAACTTTCTTAAATAGAAAATTTTTCAGGTCAAATTTGGCAGTGGTGGGATTTGAACCCACGCCTCTATTGAGACTGGAGCCTTAATCCAGCGCCTTAGACTGGTCGGTCACACTACCACAGAGTGG